GCAGCTGCCTAAATATGTAAATTTGTTCACATTTTGACGCAAAAATCTAACACATCTATAGACAATTATTCCATTAACATAAAATCCAATTGTAGTGTTGAAATCTTCATTTCCTGGACTAATCAAAATATAAAGGGTTGGGCAGGATAAATCTCGGGTTAGGTCTGGCAACATATCAAAGTTTCCCGCGACCAAATTTAATGATAAGCGAGAAGACGCTGAACTGAGCTGAACTGAGCTAAACTGAGCTGAACTAAGCTAAACTAAGCTGAACTGAGCTGAATTGAGCTGAATTGAGCTAAACTGAGCTGAACTGAGCTGAACTGAGCTAAACTGAGCTAAACTGAGCTAAACTGAGCTGAACTGAGCTAAACTGAGCTGAACTGAGCTGAATTAAGCTGAACTGAGCTAAACTGAGCTGAACTGAGCTGAACTGAGCTATACTGTGCAGATTTTTTTCTTAAAAACATAGTATTGTAATATATGAAATATATATAAACATCAACCATAGAATATACTCTGAAATTTTGCCTTTTAGAGATACATTTAGTTAAATTGAAAAGCATGGATTTTATCCGAAAAGAACTGACTACTTGCCGAAAACTCCAATCTCATCATCCTTACTAATATATTTTCAGTCAGATGTTGTTGATCTTTCATATTTCATAGGTATCCATTCTGCAAGGTATAAAGGTATATAAATAGATCAAAGCATTGCACTTCAGGTTGCAAAGATATAGGGATTAGAAAATTAAAGTTTGCGGCGGGCAATCAGTTCCTTTATCTCTTTTTATCTAGAAACATAGCAAAACTAATTTACTTTTAGGATACAATTGTCAAGTGCAATATTGTGTTGTGTTTAGGGAATCTCCTTATTATATAACACTGTTTAATCTAAAATATTTTTTGAAGTTTAAAAATGTTTGAAAATATATTTTCTGTTCCTATTAGCAGGTTGTCAGGTTTAAGACTTTTTGCATGTTTCTTCTTTAATCCAGCGCCTGTTGGCAGATTTAAATATTTATTTGCAAACATTCTGCTAACTAGACCGATACATAACGTTTCTAAGAAGCTTACTCAACTCCGTGCCTTCCTTCACATCTTTTTTTAACTTTTAAAGACAATTCTGGACTAGTATCTAGTATCTAGGGAATACCGCATTTATGCACAAAGTAAGCTGGTTATCTTAATTGTTTTTTCAACATTTAACCATCGCTAATTACTAAATTGTTTTTTTTTTCCAGCGAACGAAATCTTTCACGAAAAAATGCGAAAACTTTCGTTCGCATTTCGCAAACTTTTTCTCGAAATTTCGCATTTTTTCGCGAAAATAAATTAACAGGATGCGAAAACTATCCGAAATTTTGCGAAAATACTTTTCTCGAAAATTGTTTTTACAAAATTTGTACCTGCAACAATTAATTGCGCAAAATAACCTTCTTTCCCGAATTTTTTTCCCCGCAAAATTTTTGCAGATAATGTTTTTGGAGCCATTAAACATTTGCTTTACTTATCCTCTCTGGATGTTATGTTTCTATAAAGTCATATTTTGATTAATTAACTCATTAGTATATATATATATATATATATATATATATATATATAAATATATTAGCTAAAGCTAGCCTAACGACTGACCCAAATTAACTGAATATCTCAGGGGTAACAAAGGCTAAAAAATGATTTTTTTTTAAATTTCACGGCCAAATCCAAGCATTTTAGCAATAATCATAATTTAATACCAACAAGCATGGGTAAACAGCTGGAGTAAAATTATAAGAGCCTAGACAACCTAGGCAATGCCGGGTTCCCTAGCTAGTATATTAAAATTCTGGAAAAGTGTAAAAATACGATACCTCCGGTAGGTTTTATTCCATTTCTCTCAACATAGTCTGTAGCAGAAGCTAAGGCTGACACCATGAGGTAGTTAAAGATCATATCTGCATCTGGTTCATACTCAAGAACATCTAGAACATCATTTTCTATTAGAGACAATAGATGTTTACAATTTCACTCCCCTCTAACTTCATAGGATTAGAAACACACGATTTTTGCAAGTTAAAATTGCCAACCGAAAACCGGTTTTTACGAAATTTGAGGTTTAATAATTTAAATGCACACAAAAATTTGACTTCTGATTTGACATAACTGTAAAGGATTTTCTATTTTTGAACCTCCCTTTTCCTTAGATGTCAGTGTCAATGAAAACTTGAGTTTTTACCGAAAGTAAGTTTTTTTATTCTCAAAAATGCATGGTTATCAGTGAGAAGTTATATTGGCATTAAAAGATATGTGTCGCGTCTTGAACTTATGTTTTCAAAATAGTTTCATCCACGGGCAAAAAATTATTTTTTGGGATTCAAACCAGTTTTTTCTTCTCTAGTTTCTTTAATTATTAAGGGATTTTACGATTTAAAAATCCAGAAAAAAAACCAGCTGAGTATTTAGTAGCCTAATGATTTAAGTTAATTATCTCTAAATGTCTGACCACAAAAATTTACTCTTGGATAATGAGAAATGCGAAAACGAGTTGAATTTTTTCAATGTTGATATTGAGCTCAGGCATAGCATAGATAAGTTATATCTTATACAAAAGTTCTGACCTCTAATTATGTTTGTGACTTTGAATCCATATAATTATATTATACACCTTTTTTTAATTATGCAAATGTCAGTGCTTGAAAGAAAAAGCAAAAAATATAAACTTCAATTATTAAGTTAAACTGAGTTTGTCTAGATTACCTTGAAGTGCTTCATCAAGAACATCTACTAAAGCCAGCTTGACATCTATTCTGGCAGCAGCATCTGCTCCTAGCTTCTCTGCTAGGGTATTACAGGTACTAGCTATTTCCTCCGGTGTAGGAATTCTGTTTATAAAAGTATTTCTTAAAGCATTTGTTACCGAATTCATCTCTTCCTCCATTGCAGCCTTCAGGGCATTCAGTTTTTCAAATGGAGATCCTCCAGCCTTCATTGCTTCTTTAATTGATTCTATAAAATCATCTGATATTCCTCCGCCCTTGTTCAGAATCATCTGCATCATTTCCTCTATTTCTTCTTTAGATGCCCCGGCAGATGCCATTGCTGCTGAAACCTCCATTGCTTGTAATATAGAGTTATCAAGAACACTGCTCAATGCCCCCTTCATTGCTTCCATCAAATTGCTAGAGTTAGATACTCCGGGTATTTTCTTCTTAACGGTTGCTTCCATTAAACGGAGTGCTTCAGGGTTGATCTTTCTTAACATTCTTTTGGCACATCCACTTGCACCAAGTATTTTTTCAAATTGTAGGGTGCGAATAATATCTCTACCTTGCAGACCTCTTGTGAGGGCAGTTTTTAATTCTATTTCCATTAGGGTGATAAAATGCTCTAAACTCATTCCAGATTCTAATAAAGATCTTTGCATACATGATGCGACATGATCAGAAGAGGCACCAGCTTCGATCATAGCATTTTGAAGTAGAAATGCTTTACCCAAATCCTCTGGAGAAATTCCAGCAGCTGAAAGAATTTTCTGCATTAGAATAGCTTTTTGTAATAAGTTTGCATCAACTTGACCACCACTTAAAAGGTCATTAGCCTTGCAGCCAAATTTATCTCCTAGAGCTAAAACACCTGCATTTAATGATTTTTGTAAATGTATCATTTTATCTATATCCTCTTTTGTGCATCCTTTCTTTGTCATCACACTAGCTATCAGAGCAGCAACTGCTTCCTCTGACATATCTTGACCAACAGCTTTATTAAATATCTCTGCAATTTCATCAGGTGATATACCTGAGGCAGCTAAGGCCTTTTGGAACATTACAGCTTGTGCCATGATCTCTGGAGTAACTCCGGAAGCTGCCAACATCTTTTGAACTACCATTGCCTTTGCCATATCCTCTTTAGACAATCCTGCCACCTTCATTGCATTATCAAATATTTCCTTTATCTTATTATCATCTGAATGTGAACTGGATTTCATGGCCTTCTGATAAGCTTGTCCACAAGAAATGTCTGAACCAGCAACGGTTAGTTGGCCTGCAGATATCACATCCAAAAGTGGTTGTTTAAGCTTTTCTAAAAATAGTTTTTTTCTTGGTTTTAGAGTTTCATTAATAGTTCTTGATAGGACTTCAGCAGAGACACCATGTCGTAGAATAGCATTCTGTATTCTGAGAACCTTTGCTAGATCTTCCAAAGCTGCTTCTGACGCTCCCATTACTTTCTGTATCAATAAGATTTTGGCTAATGATTCCGGTTTAATATTATCAATATCTAACACTTTCTTTAGCAAATTAATCAAATCAGCTTGTGTTGTACCATTCTTAAGCTCTAAAGAAAGTGTTGATAGTCCCTCATATTTGCTCCCAATGCCAGGATGTATAATAGCTTCATAAAGAATAGAGCTCATCTTAACTTCCTCTCCTTTTATTTTATTTTGGTCTAGAGCTGCAACTAAAGACTCAGCAATGTCTTTGATATTCAATCCAAACTGTTTTAAAAGTTCTGTCAAAGCAAGCCCTATCTTATCAGGATGCAAGCCAATTTCAACAAGTTTATTCTGAAGATGAAACAGAAGACCTAGCTCCTCAGAAGTTAATTCTGATGCTAATAATAGTTTCTGCATTAAAATTGATTTTTCAAGACTGTCAGTGCTAAGTCCATTTTTCTGTAAGAGTTCATTTAGGTCTGTGGCCAGACTTTCTGGGTTTGCATTTGGTCTCTTTAATTTATTTGCAAGATCTGCAGATGACTGCTCAGGAGATGAAATGTCACTTTCAATTGCTTTTTGCATAAGCATGATCTTTGATATTAATTCAGCAGGTATTCTTGTACCTTGAAAAGCTTCAGCCACCTCAATGATATTTACAACGTCAGCTGCATTTAGTTTTCTATTAATTTTCTCTCTCAATTTAGTAACAGTATTTTCTAGGCTTAGAGAGCTGCCTCCGAGAGCAAACTCCATCATCATTGAAATATCCTGGGGTGTTGCCCCTGCATCATACATTGCTTTTTGAATGCTAAATACCTTGGCTATATCATCAGGTGAAACTGATAGGGTTGTTAAGATTTTCTGAAGAACTGCTGTTCTTGAAATTGCATCAGCTTTTGCACCATTGTTAAATAACAGTTCTTGTATTGATTTTGACAAATCAGCTTGGTCAAAATTCTTATTCTTTAAAGATTTGTTCACAATTTCTTTGATGTTGATAACAGATGCCCCATTAGTATCAAGTGCTTTATCAAACATCACTGCCTTCATTACATCATCAACATTCATGTCATCAGATATCAATCTATTAAGAATAATATTAATAATTTCATTTTGACCACTCTCTCCACTCAGATCAAATATGATGTCCTCAAGAACCTTTGCAATATTTTCAGGACTATTTCCATATCCATTGGACCAGGCTTTCTGTAATAAAATAGCCTTGGCAATATCTTCAGGATCAGAACCACAAGCAGCAAGTGATTTTTGAAACATTAGAACTTTTGCTACAGTTTCTGGCTCTAGTCCTCCATTAGATAAAACCTGTTTTACACTATCTGCAGTGATATCTTTACCACAGCGTAAATCATTCAACAGTTTTTTAGCCATTTCTTCAGGACTGACTCCAATTGCATTCATAAGGTTTTGGGAAACAATTGCTTGTGCAATTTCCTCCGCTGAAGCCCCAGCCTCAATCATAGCTTCAATTACATGTTTCTGAATTTCTTCTTGGGACATTCCTGACATTGCCATAGCAGACTGCATTGTTTTAGCAATAACGTCAGCTGATGCTCCAGAAGCAGCCATGGCTTTCATCATATGCTCTGCAAGTTCTTTTTCAGAGATTCCACTTTCCAACAAAGCAGTTTGCATAGCTCTGGCTATTTCCTCTCCACTTGCACCAGCATCTGCCATTGCTTTTGCCATGGTTTTAGCTAACTCTGCCATTAGCTCAGGATCATCAATCTTCCCTGCTGCAGCAATAGCATTTCTCATTGCAAGGTTAATTTCCTCTGGGGAAGCCCCAGCTTCAGCCATAGCTCTTGCTACAGTTTGAGCAATTTCTAGAAGTTCCTCCGGAGAGCTGTCTGCCCCCAAACTAGCAGACAAAGCTTCCTGCATCGTTTTAGCAATATCTTCAGCAGATGCTCCAGCTGCTGCCAAAGCACAAGCCATAGACCTGGCAATATCAGCAGCAGCTGCTGGGTTTTCAGCCATTGCTTTTGCAAATGTTTCCTTCAAGGCAGCAGCAATGTCCTCTGCAGATGCTCCAGAAGCTGCCATAGCTGTTGCCATTGCCTTGGCAATTTCTTCTGTAGTTGCTCCAGACTTTCTCATTGCTTGTTGCATAGTTTTGGCAATTTCTTGGGGAGAGGCCCCAGTTGCCTGTAATGCCTTAACCATTGCCTTGGCAATACTTTCTTGACTCTGTCCACTTGCTGCAAGAGAAGCCATTAATGTTTCTGTAACATTATCTACGGATCCTCTTCTTTGCTTCATTGCCTTTCTCATCAGGTTTATTGCTTCTTTAGGTATTTCACCCTTTTCTAAGGCATCTTTAAACGCAAGGATAATATCAATGTCACTTGGAACAAGTCCTTGATTTAGACATTTAATAAGACTTGCTTTCAACTCTTTTATTGCCTTTTCATCTACTGGGATTAGAGACATTGAAAGGGACATTGCATTTGATACATCATGAATTGCCATTCCTCCTTCAAGCATGGCTTTTTGAATGAGAATTGCACTTGCTAAACAACCAGCTCCAGCTGATGATATTGCTTTTTGTAAAAGTAAAGAATTAGATAATGATTCTGGAGAAATGCCACCTGACTCAAATATCTGGTTGATACACTCTTCCAGACCTTCCATTGTGTCAGTTTTCCCTTCTTCAAGAAGTTTCTGTAGTTCTTTCATTCCTCTTAACTTCCCAGACTCAAAATATTTTTGCATCGATAGTGCTTTTGTTATTTCATCTGTTGAAATAGAATCATTCTTCAGAACACCTTCAATTTCTTCTTTAAGCTTATCTTTGTTTTGATTTTGTTGGACAATCTTATTGAACACCTGTGCTAAAACCTCAGAAGACACTCCTTTCTTTAATAAGCTGGTCTGTATAAGAAGAGCTTTAGCAATATCTTCAGGACTTGCTCCAGAGGCTGCCATTGCCTTCTCTATGTAAAGACCCTAAACATAAGATATATTGTAAGTGCAACCAAGCATAAAAAAGTGACTAAATTGAAATATAGTAATACATCAAATCCTGTATTATTAAGCATAGCATTTCTCTCTGAGTTTGTATTGCAAAGTTAAAATTTTTTAAATCATTTAAAATGTTACCTTTATTAACACTTTTATTAATTTAGATTTTAGAAAAAAATGTTTATTTTCGTTTGCACTTACTTAGATGCATAAATACTGTTATTAGTTTATGAGAGTAAAAGATGTCTGGAATCTTGTTAGTTCGAGAATTTTTATTGTTCTAGATTCCAGGAATTCTTTCTTGTGAAGTTTAACCGCGGTTAGATCTAGAGTGCATAGAAACCCCATAAACTAGGGGAAACACATGTATATCTCAACTTCTTTATGGACAAACACATTTATATTCATAAACTTTACCATGGGTGAACACTAAGCATTGAATGTGTTTTCAACCGTTTTTAAGAATTAAAAGAAAACAAATTATGATAATTATGCATACCATGATTTGGAAATGTTTTCAGACAAAAAAATATCTGTGAAAGTTAACATGTACAAATGCGTAATTTTTTTAAACTTTACAGAAACCTCTGAATTGTCAGTGCGCGTGAACAAAGTCAGGTTTAGTTTTAGAATTAACAAGAAATATTGACTAAAGTTACAACTACACTCAATATGAGGTGACATGAAATTGGCTTAGAAGCGCCAGAAAATAATTAAGTTTTCCGCAAAAACAAGATAAATTAACAGTTTAGAGAACAGTTAACGCAGAACAGAGCCAATGAATCAGCGAACTGTACAGTGTAGGGGGTTTTCAACTAATTAAACATAATCTTTAAAGGGACTGTAAGCGAGATTCTAAGTGACCCTCCATACAAATAGGACCCGATTTACAATGATACCTTTGAAACCTTAATCTAATCAAAAATTGGAAAATTTGAAATTACACTTACAGTCCCCATAACCCCCCCTGTTAACTTTAAAACCTATCTTCAAAATTTTTCACCTTTGCAAGATCTTCAGCTGTAATTTTTGCAGCATTAAGAGCGTTACGAAGAGTTTTATTGATAAAGGCAGGAGAGTTGTCGCCTGCCATTGCCTGAAAAAACATCACTGTATAGATTTGTTGTGTTACAGGGTAATTGCCATTTTGAAAATTGAATAAAGTATGGAAAGGAATTGCAAAGAACTCGTAGACCATAGATATTTCAAATATTAATTCTGTTAGAATGTATAAACTAAATTTGAAATATGAAAGGTTTACAACATCAGGTTTCAAAGCTTTAGGGATTAGAAATTAGATTCAATTTCTTTAACCTTTTGAAGGAGCAAGGTCTTTGCTAGAATTTCTTCTGGGCTCAGTCCACTGGCTGCAAGCTCTCTTTGCATAGCAGCAAGAATCTAAAATTAAAAATCATAACTTTATTAAAACTGTCAGTTTGAAATAAATAATCAAGATATAAAATCTAGATTATAACTTTCTAAAACTTCTTGATTTTATCAACCTCCATCTATTATGATAAATACATTGTAAAATTAAAAACATATAGATTTTGTATAGATTATAAATGTTTAAATCTGTTTTTCTTGATTTGGATGACATTGTCAGTGACTAAAGTTGCTGCATTTTAATCCTACTTTATGGCATGACAGTAAAAAGCACTGTCCAGTGCCTACTCTGTGTGCCTATTTTATTATGTTGCTACTGCACCTTTGCCCTCTTCAGACGTAGGTATTCAAGTAATCCTATAACTTGTTTATATTACAAGCTGTGTCAACACATTCTATTTTTCTATGTTTTCCTGCTTTAATTTGACCCTATAACTACATCCAACACTCTCCACTAAACCCTACTATATCTGCGGTCTGTGTACTGATGATAACTGTATGACGTATGTACGCACCGTAAGCATAGTTTAGGGTGCCAATAATCTCACTTATACCGATAAATTACTACTACTAGAGAAGGTAAAGCCTGAAAGACTTAAATCATATTGATAACACAGTATAAAGTGGTTTTCTCTTGAACTACAGTGCAAGATATGAAGAAAACTCATATGAATTATGCTGAATTGCATTACAACAAAAGGAAAACGCCAGAATTTAACGAACGGCAAGCTTTTGAAAATGAACGGGTGAGCCCGTTAACGAATGACAAAACCGTTAATTTGATATCGTTAAAAGAACGGAAATTGCTGTTATTTTAAAAAATAATGGTTTAAAAAATGACGAACGTATGTGCTTCAAAATAATGACGACTTTCGGTAATTATTCAATATAAATTTGTTTGAAACTTACAGAAAATGAAAAATTAATTTTATGTATTTTGATGCTTTTTTATCGTGTTTTGAAGTTTGTCAACGTTGCTTTGAAATTTATCCCGATATTTTTACAAAAAATAATCGTTAGCGGCTCTGAAACATCTTCCGTTAACACCACTATTAAAATTAAGATCATTGTAGTTTCAGTTGAAGTAAATATTTCCATTTACTGATAGCGCCGATTTCAGAATTCAAAACTCTAATTGGATAATGAGATAGATAGAAAGATAGATGCTATATAACCGCCATCTATTTCCATTGGTTCAGCCAACAAACAAATGACTGAACCCTGATTGGTTCAGGCGATAATGGAGTTGGCATACGTCCGAACGTTCATTTAAAAAATGAAGGTAAAGTTCCGTTCTTAGCTACATAAAGAACGGCTACCTAAAAGTTTTTTCCTATTTAAACTAATCTTGAAGGAACGGCTTGAAGAAAGTCTTAACGTCCTGACAAGTAGAATATCTTTATCTTGATTTCCAAATTAAGTTCAGGGAGGAATACAAACAAAGGTCACCTTGAGCAGCTCTGCGTTTGTTTACATTACTCCCAACAACTGCAGTACACTTCATTTGTATATATTTCTTGGCTGTCTGTTTGCCGGCCCAAGATATGTTTTTTAAGTATCGGTAGACGACCCAGGTCAATTTACATATTAACCTGCCCTAGCGAGATATGGATAATTTATTTATTTAATCAATATTGAATTTAATCTTGAAACTAGTCCGTAGAAAATATTATCAGGCTGAGAAAATGTATACATGTTTTAATTTTAAAAATATTAAAAATCCCCCCCCCCCTCCTCGGCGTACTGAACCTGGAATTAGTCCAGGAAGTGGCCGTGTGTGTGTAGGTCAACTCACATGTAAAAGGATATCTTTGAACACTAGAGTTTGCTTGAATTAAATTCTGCAATATTGCACATCTGTACATACAGAGTGAACCATTAAACATGGAAATTAAATGACGACTTCTAGATCGTCTTTGTTCCGCGTGGCTTGTAGTATTCCAGTTAAAACATTGAATAATTAAAACTACTAGTCTTGGAAATTCCAAAATGTCGTTTACCATATTTTCACTTTCAAAATTGTAGAAGATATTAAGAAATCTTTCCAGATTCTCAATTATTAAAGAAGAACAAATCTTTAACCGTTAACATCTCCGTTAATCTAAAGGACGCACAGAAAACAGACCTCATTTTTAAAAACTCATAAGACGTTAAATACACTAGTTTGTCATTTGTAACTATCGGAAGACGATTTTCAAGTAGTCTCTTAACTTCCTTGTTTTCGGGGACACCCTATTGCTGTAGTACATACATTATAGGATAACCCACACAAAAATGAGGCTTTATAATACTTTAACGCTCATCAATATAAAAGTAATATTCGCGGTCCTGAAAATTAAAATATAATTTCAATCATCTATCTTGTGCCATCGAAGTAGTGTGGCAGAGAAATGAAATGTTTACAGCGGTAATAGCAAACTATGGAATTATAAATAATACTAAAAAATTTAATTGAGTTTTGTTTGTGGTAGTTACATTCTTGTAAGTGATTTAAAATGTATGAACAAGATGTTTGACGAAAAAGAATTTAATATTAAAATATTGAATTTCAAATTTTACCTTTGCGTATTTGTGTCAAAGACATTTGGCTTGATTTCCATTTAAAAAGTGACAAGTTAAGTTCAAGTTTATAAATAACGGGGGGAAATGGTTGAAGTACCAATCAGCACAGAAAGATTCAGAATTCTAGTAATTATTTTTTAAAAAATTTTCCCTGCCCTTTTTAAAAATGCCCCAGTTATCTACACATTTCATATATATATAACGATCCTTGTCCCATTGTTTTAATATCTTCTAATATAATTTCTCCTCTTTATCTTCCTTGATTTTTACCCTTTGCTTTTGTATTCATGGATCTTAGCTACCTGTCCGTGTATATTAGCCTGAGTGTACAGTTAGGACAGTTTACTGATAAAAGTCCAATTTCATAAAGATTTCTAAAACCCTACAGTGAACTCTAGAGTAGATTTATTCTAGAGTTAACCGCTGCTCTGGTTAGAATTTTCATCCCTTTTCTTGATCAATTTTCTACTAGGCCAAAATTACTCCAGAGTAGAATAATACATACTTTGCTTGAATAATACGTATTTATCCAGGGTAAAAACTTGCTTACTGCGCAGGTGTTTAAAATGACGTCAACAAATAAATGCTGGGTTTAAAAGCTTATTCGGACTTGAAATAAAATAAAAATAAAATTTCCTTTTTAAAATTTTAATGAAAACAAAAAATAAAACGATATATCTGTAAACCCAAAGACTTTGCTAATTAGCAAAGTCTTTGCCATAACCTCGTTGATTATATCCCAGAAATAAATTTAATTGCTGATGGACATTTCCTATTTTTAAATATTAGATAGGACATTTCATATTTTTAGAAAGGAAATTCATCAGAAAGAACACGTCATATAAAGGACATTTCATAGAAAGGACATTTCATATAAAAACATTTTATATATAAAACATTTTATACACAAAAACTTTTCATAGATAATTAATAGAAAAGACAATGATAAAACAAATCTTAAACGGAAAAGCATCTTGTTTTCTTATCACGTAAAAATAACAGTATGTAACTAATTTATCAAGAAAGCTAATTTTGCAAGAAGGAAATAATTTTTCTTATCTAAGAAATGTTTTCTCTATGAAAAGTCCAATCTATGAAATGTCCTGTCTATGAAATGTCATATCTAAATAAAATGTCCTATCTATAAAATGTTCAAACTATAAAATTTTCTGTCTTATTTAAAAATAGAAAATGTCAATCAATGAAATTTATATCTGTGAAATATCCCAACATCAGGAATGGGGATATAATCAACGAGGTTATAGTATATATATAAACTGTTTTATCTATGTGTGAGTATATAGAGTGATATTTCCAGTCTCAAGAAATGTCCAATCTATAAAATATCCAGTCTATGAAATGTCATGTATTTGAAATGTCCTGTCTATGAAATGTCCTGTCTATGAAATGTCCTGTCTATGAAATGTCCTGTCTTTGAAATGTCCTGTCTGTGAAATGTCCCGTATATAAAAATGTTCTATCTATGAAATGTTCTGTCTATTAAATGTCCAGTCTATGAAATGTCCAGTCTATGAAATGACCTTTCAACAAAATGTCCTTTCTTTGAAATGTCCAGACTACGAAATGTTCTGTCCAACGAAGTCCTGTCTATGGAATGTCCTATCTTTAAAATGCTCAATCTATGAAATGTTCTGTGTATAGATGTCCTATTTTTAAAATGTCCAGTCCATAAAATGCCTTGTCTATGAAATATTTTTATATAAATCCCCCCCCCCCAATTCTCCACGTATTCCCTAATTAGAACAATGAACAGAGTATTCATGATCCCTGCTATCCCTGCCTGCCTTTCCCAAAATTAGAACAAAAAATGTTGAGGCGGAGGAATAAAAAGCTGAGAAAGCGTAGATAAGATATCGGTAGAGGATGAGTGAAGTGAAAGAGTAGGGTTGACATATATATAACCCTCTAATCAACAGTTACACTGTCACAAGCAAGATTTATTGCTTCGTTTCTTTAACTCTTGTTATATACGCAGAGAGGAGGGTAAAAACATCTTTTAAAGACTGTTGTAGTAATCTCAAGTGACCTTTAAGAACATGCCCAATTCTTAACGGTACAATTTCAACCTTTATGTTTATGTGAAAGATATTGTTTTTGTATTTCTATGTTAAAAAATATTCTTCATTTTAGTAATTTTCTCTATTGTTTCTGGAACAAAATTCCGCAAGTCCTTTTATTCAGATAATTTACAACTGAAAATAAACATTTTTCAAAGAAAAATATGAGGGTATTTCATTCCTTTTAGATTAGAGAAACCTTTGTGATCGACATGCCACTTTATAAAAAGAGAGAGACTTGTAATTATGTCTACAGTCCCTTTAAACTTATTTTTCTATAAACGGTTAAATTTCAACTTTCAAGTATTTGAGTCTTTTCTAGAGAATAGAGGTAAAGCTGCAAAACATCAAGGTTCAAAGTTGGCGACTCATGTAGGTAAATAGTAAACAGGAGAAAACAACAACAGATGTATTTAATAAACAAGATTAGTCGGAAACTTTAATTCTCATTCTATCCAGTTCTTTTGCATGTTCTTATCCTTTACTCTATTGTTCTTATCCTTTACTCTTTTGTTCTTATCCTTTACTCTTTAGTTCTTATTCTTTACTCTTCAGTTCTTATCCTTTACTTTTTAGTTCTTATCCTTTATTCGTCAGTTCTTATTATTCAGGTCCTACACGCCTACCTCTTCTGTGCTAGCTCCTTGAGCCACTAAAGCTGTTGTAGCCATTAGAGCAGACATCATAGCTGGGTCTATCTCATCCCCCAATCCTATATTACAGGGTTAGAGTCAGGACTCATGAAACAGAATATCATTTACAATATCAGAATAGTACAGGGTTAGAGTCAGGACTCATGAAACAGAATATCATTTACAATATCAGAATAGTATAGGGTTAGAGTCAGGACTCATCAAACAGAATAGCATTTACAATATCAGAATAGTACAAGGTTAAAGTCAGGACTCATGAAACAGAATATCATTTACAATATCAGAATATAGTACAGGGTTAGAGTCAAGACTCATGAAACAGAATATCATTTACAATATCAGAATAGTACAAGGTTAAAGTCAGGACTCATGAAACAGAATATCATTTACAATATCAGAATAGTACAGGGTTTGAGTCAGGACTCATCAAACAGAATATCATTTACCATATCAGAATAGTACAGGGTTAGAGTCAGGACTCATGAAACAGAATATCATTTACAATATCAGAATAGTACAGGGTTAGAGTCAGGACTAATGAAACAGAATATCATTTACAATATCAGAATAGTACAGGATTGCCCACACAAATATAAATTCGTAAAGAAAGAAAATGTTTGCAGTTGAAGGAAGCCAAAAATGTAATGATTTTTGATAATTTTTTTTCTTATTTTATCTTATTATATCTACATATTTTTGATTATTTTTTCTTATTTTATCTTATCATATCTACATATTTTTGATTATTTTTTTTTTCTTATTTAATCTTATCATATCTACATATTTTTGATTATTTTTTTTTCTTGTTTAATCTTATCATATCTACATATTTTGATTATTTTTTTTTCTTATTTAATTTTATCATATCTACATATTTTTGATTATTTTTTTTCTTATTTAATCTTATCATATCTACATATTTTTGATTTTTTTTCTTATTTAATCTTATCATATCTACATATTTTTAATTATTTTTTTTCTTATTTAATCTTATCATATCTACATATTTTTGATTATTTTTTTTCTTATTTAATCTTATCATAACAACATATTTTTGATTATTTGCATCTTTTTATATTTTCACCTGACATCATTTTCTCGATTATTTTGTTTGCGATTTCCGGATCTCCTCCAGATGCTGCAGCAGCAATCAAAGCAGCAGCTGCCTAAATACATGTAAAACTGTAGCAGCAGTTGCCTAAATATGTAAAGCTGTAGCAGCAGCTACTTAAAAATATGTAAAATTGTAGCAGCATCTGCCTAAATATGTAATTATGTACCAGTAGATGCTTAAATATATGTAAAACTGTAGCAGCAGCAGCCTAAATATGTAAATTTGTGGCACCAACTGCCTAAATATGTAAAGTTGAAACAGCAGCTGCTGAAAAGAAATGTAAAGTTGTAGCAGCAGCTGCCGAAATACATGTAAAGCTGTAGCAGCAGCTGCCTAAATATGTAAATTTGTACCAGCAGCTGCTTAAATATATGTAAAGTTGTCGCAGCAGCTGCCTAAATATTTAAAGTTGTAGCAGCAGCTGCCTAAATATGTAAAGCTGTAGCAGCAGCTGCCTAAATATGTAAAGCTGTAGCAGCAGCTGCCTAAATATGTGAAGTTGTAGCAGCAGCTAACTAAATATGTAAAGCTGTAGCAGCAGCTAACTAAATATGTAAAGCTGTAGCAGCAGCTAACTAAATATGTAAAGCTGTAGCAGCAGCTGCCTAAATATGTAAAGCTGTAGCAGCAGCTGCCTCAATATATGTAAAGTTAAGTAGCAGAAGCTTCAAAAGGAACTAATTTCTCAACTAAATCTCGTAATTTTCTAATCTACATCTATATATAGTTTTGGCGACTGATCAGTTTTTTGTTAAACAAATGTTAATACTTGATTCGTAGAAGAGTTCTTTAGAGTTAAAAAAGTCAAATTTTGTTTAACGTGAAAAGGAAAACTTAAATATTTCGCATCGTAACATTTTGCCATAAAACAGGAAAAACATACATGAAAGAAATGAATTTGTCTCTTTTTTATTTTAGCTAAAAAGATAAATCTTTTAAACTACGATTATTGTATTCTTTACCCTTGAAAATCATTGAAATGCACAAAATTATGATCGAAGAAATTTCCAAAATATTCATGCCAAATTAATCAATTTGCAGTTGCAACATATGCAACATATATGCAAGAGGAAAATTGAACTCTCCATCAAATGAATGTCTAAATCCAACCTTAGAATCAATCTTGCCATCAGATCCTGTCACAGCTGCGATAAATCTTTTCTTGTCTTCATCCGACATCTTGTTGAACTTGAGAGATCCGTCTGGTCCTAGTTACATAAATAAACAATAGGTGTCTTTGCTCTTAAGTTTTTTCGTGAACAGAAAATAGAACGAGACGGTGAGGAGTTTGCAACAATTTAAAGGGATTGTTCACATTTTTATATTTAAGAACATAACAAAGCCTAGATAAATGGTTTCTCTAAAAATGATCAGAAATCGCATGAGTAAATTTCTTGGATTTCATAAACATTTTCCGTACATTTGACATTCCAGTGTCCAGCATAATATGATTCGTAAAGTGTTAAATTTTTTACATAATTTCTAGAAATTAATCTAACTTTTTATTTTCATTTTAAATTTAAATTTTTGAAGTTTACCTTGTCCAAACAAGTTTTCTAATCCGTGTATTCCAGACTGAATATTTTCCTTGTCCAAACAAGTTTTCTAATCCAGGCATTCCAGACTGAATATTTTCCTTGTCCAAACAAGTTTTCTAATCCGTGTATTCCAGACTGAATATTTTCCTTGTCCAAACAAGTTTTCTAATCCAGGTATTCCAGACTGAATATATACCTTGTCCAAACAAGTTTTCTAATCCAGGTATTCCAGACTGAATGTTTACCTTTTCCAAGCAAGTTTTTTAATCCAGGCATTCCAGACTGATATATTTACCATGTCCAAACAAGTTTTCTAATCCATGTATTCCAGACTGAATATTTACCTTGTCCAAACAAGTTTTCTAATCTAGGTATTCCAGACTGAATATTTACCTTGTCTTAACAAGTTTTCTAATCCAGGTATTCCAGACTGAATATTTACCTTGTCCAAACAAGTATTCTAATCCAGGCATTCCAGACTGAATATTTACCTTGTCCAAACAAGTTTTCTAATCCAAGTATTTCAGACTGAATATTTACCTTGGCCAAACAAGTTTTCTAATCCGTGTATTCCAGACTGAATATATTTACCTTGTCCAAACAAGTATTCTAATCCAGGTATTCCAGACTGAATATTTACCTTGTCCAAACAAGTTTTCTAATCCAGGTATTCCAGACTGAATATTTACCTTGTCCAAACAAGTATTCTAATCCAGGTATTCCAGACTGAATATTTACCTTGTCCAAACAAGTTTTCTAATCCAGGTATTCCAGACTGAATATTTACCTTGTCCAAACAAGTTTTCTAATCCAGGTATTCCAGACTGAAGGAGCTTGGCCAAAGCATTGTATGCTCCCTTCTCCCCCTTACCCCCACTACAACAGGAATATATTTTTAGGAAATTTAGGGGACTAGAAGGTTAAATTTAGGGAAGTGAAAGGGACATTTAGGGGACAATAAGGTGACTAGGAGGGACATTTAGAGTACTGAAAGGGACATTAAGGAGACTAAGAGCCCGAAAAAGGGACATTTAGAAGGACTGAAAGGGACTTTTCGGGGGAATAAGATAAGAGGGACATTTAGAGGACAAGAGGGACATTAGGGGACTAAACAAACGAATTTGATATTCTAATAAATAATTAAATGGATTATTTAAGGGGAAACAAAAAACCTGCCGGTCCTAATAAGGAGAGGAACAAACATGGATAACAAAGAAACTTTTAGCTACTTTAGCCCTCTAATCTATGCAAAGTTACTACCTGAGACTAAGCATAGACTCCAACATCTTGAACATTGGACCGTCGTTGGACATGTCCAGGACAAGCTTGATCTGTTCCTTCTTCTCAAACTTAGAACTCGGTCCATCATTCGTTCCATCAATATTCATAACACGTTGTTTACCCTGCAGTACAGTGTACACACTCATTTAAGTTTAGAAGATTTTACTCAGTATTTTAAAAATAATTTTTAAAAAACCTTCAAGGGACTGCAGTAAACGTAATTTCAAATGACCCTCCATGGCAATGTCCGATTCACAACGGCACCCTTGAGACTTTAAAAGGAGTGTTCGCGAAAAATGAAAGGGGATATTATCGAATCGAATTCATCGAATAATTATAATTATCTGTTGCGTCTATTTGTAGAAAATGGGTAAAAACCTCTTATACCTAAGAGCTTAGCGCCCATACATATTCACAGCTAACTCCATATTCAACTAACATCGTAAATAATTAAATTAAATCTAAAATTATACATTCAGATATTATAACAATAATATCTGTTTCTAGACGCAACAGATGATAGTAGATGTTTTAGTGATCGATATCGAATTCGATTCGATATCAGCCTACTCTCTTTCATTTTTCGCGAACACTTTAAGTACGATCTAAAAACTCTAATTCTGCGAATCTAAAGGTTTAATTTGGACTTTAATTGACTGCTATAGGACTATTTGCTAAAGCTAAAGAAATCAATCAATGTAGAAAAAGACTGTCGAATGAAGTCGGTTGAAATGTCCTTGAAGTCGCATCCTTTTTTAGTAACCCTGAATATAAGAACATGTGTGTTACCTTGATTTTATTGCAGGTCCACGGTGCAAGAGGTATAAAGTGATGCACCTAATTAATAATACATAATAAGTTTAATTACCATGAAAATAGACAAGCTATAAATATATATGATTTGCTTGTCTGTCTGTTTGTTTGAAACTAAAAAATCGTCAAAACCTCAAATGACTCTAAGGAGTAAGGAAGGTTAATGGATGCTCAGAATTACGAAAAGTTGTATAAAGTATATTTTGACTTTTGTAAAATTTTGAAAATTCACGAAAAAACTCGTTAATCCACAAAAAATAAATTATCAATGTTTTATCGGAAAGAAAATGCGGAAAGATTGAGCACCAATTAATAGTTAAAAAAGAAGATAAGCGCCTAGTATAATCAAAATAATGTTATATAAAATGCAAATAAATGAAAATTATTAAAAACAATATATATATATTTTGTATTAATTTCCTTGGGCAATGATCTTGTTTTGCCGGTGATCCTGCAGTAAACCAGTTCTATCATCACCATCTTGAGGCTGGTTCAGAGGCTGGTCAACCTGAACAAGATCTATATATTGAGGTTTAGAGGCTGGTCAACCTGAACAAAATCTATATATTGAGGTTTAGAGGCTGGTCAACTTGAACAAGATCTATATATTGAGGTTTAGAGGCTGGTCAACCTCTTAACGTCCTGACAAGTAGAATATCTTTATCTNGCTGGTCAACCTGAACAAGATCTATATATTGAGGTTTAGAGGCTGGTCAACCTGAACAAGATCTATATATTGAGGTTTAGAGGCTGGTCAACCTGAACAAGATCTATATATTGAGGTTTAGAGGCTGGTCAACCTGAACGAGATCTATATATTGAGGTTTAGAGGTTGGTCAACCTAAACAAGAATTAGATATTGAGGTTTAGAGGCTGGTCAACCTGAACAAGATCTATATATTGAGGTTTAGAGGCTGGTCAACCTGAAAAAGAACTAGATATTTAGGTTTAGAGGCTGGTCAACCTAGATTTTGAGGTTTAATTTCATTCGAGACTTGTAGGGTAAAAATCGGATCATTTAAAAAATATTATGAAACGTGAAATTAAAAGCTCAGAAGAAAACTCCCATTAAAAATCAATATTCCATTTCTTGTGTTAAATTAAGAATAAAAAAGTAATTAAAACACCGGCCAAATATTATCAAAATATATAAAATAAAATAAAATATTAAAGCTTAAAAACAAAATGATGTGCAAAATGCTCCATTCCTTTGCAAACATCTTTTTTATAAATGTGCAATTCTTTACAGACTTGAATCTAGAAACTTGTTATTCTATTTTAAAAAGCTCGAGTATCAAGATCTAAAAGATAACAATCTTGAGGTTTAAAACAACGTAAACGATATTTTCTTGGACCGAGGATAAAAAATGATTCCTAGACTCAAAAAAACAATCTTTAAATCAATCATCTTCAACCTAGTGCTGTATTTCCGGGAAAGCAACTTTAAAGCTTTTGCCAAAAAAAAAAAGGTATTTTAAAACTTAGAATAACACTCTTAATGTAAATATGCAGTGAGACTCATTAAACTCTAATATACAGACTTAAGTTATGAATTAATATAATCCAATGTAGTGTACACAGACTCATTTCACTTCACTTGAGAAATCAATTTTCAAGCTGCTGGTAAAACCTATTTGCTTTATTGTAATAATTAAATATAGATTAGATTCCAAAACTCTTGTATTCCACAGTTTCATGGGTCTCACTGTTAGCTTAACTAAACTTAACTAATCTGAACTAAACTAAACTAAACTAAACTAAACTAAGCTAAACTAAACTAAACTAAACTAAACTAAACTAAACTAAACTAAACTAAACTAAACTAAACTAAACTAAACCAAACTAAACTAAACTAAACTAAACTAAACTAAACTAAATTAAACTAAACTAAACTAAACGTAACTAAACTAAACGTAACTAAACTAAATTAAACTAAACTTAACTAAACTAAACTTAACCAAACTAAACTTAACCAAACTAAACTTAACTAAACTAAACTAAACTAAACTAATCTGAACTAACCTAAACTAAACTAAACTTAACTAATCTAAACTAAACTAACCTAATCTGAACTTAACTAAACTAAACTAAACTTAATTAAACTAATCTAAACTAATCTGAACTTAACTAAACTAAACTTAACCAAACTAAACTTAACTAAACTAAACTAATCTGAACATAACTAAACTAAACTTAACCAAACTAAACTTAACTAAATTAAGCTAAACTTAACTATAACTAAACTTGACTAAACTAAACTTAACTAAACTAAACTAAACTTAACAACCAAACTAAACTTAACTAAACTAAACTAATCTGAACATAACTAAACTAAACTTAACCAAACTAAACTTAACTAAATTAAGCTAAACTTAACTATAACTAAACTTGACTAAACTAAACTTAACTAAACTAAACTAAACTTAACTAAACTAAACTAAACTAAACTAAACTAAACTAAACTAAACTAAACTAAACTTAACTAAACTAAACTAAACTAAACTAAACTAAACTAAACTAAACTAAACTAAACTTAACTAAACTTAACTAAACTAATCTTAACTAAACTAAACTTAACTAAATTAAACTAAACTAAACTTAACTAACTAAACTTAACTAAACTAAACTAAACTAAACGAAACGAAACGGCACTGAACGAAATTTAACTAAACTAAAGTAAACTAAACGAAACGAAACTAAACAAAACAAAACTAAACCCAAAATTTTTACAGATACTTACGTAACGATTAATATACTAGAATGTTGTGTTGGGTTTATTGTTTATTTATCCAGCAACATTATATTTACATTAACTCTGAAAAGTGGGAAATTATAGTTTCATTTTATTTGTGTCTATTCAAGGTGAGGAGGGAGGAATATATCTGCATTCCCCCTTCCTCCCAGGTTTGCTTTTATAGATATCACAATAATGAAACTTAATTCATTTACAAAATATGGATAAACTCTTTGTAAAATATCCCTCCCCTTCTCCTCGACACTTGCAGCTTGACAAGGATATTATTCAAACTCTTCTTCGCTTTTTAAATCAACAATTTATGACCGTTCTCTCCTTACCCCTCATGTCCGCTCCATCTCTCTCACTCACTCTTTCAACTCCTCCCACTCCTTTATCTTACTACGTTACTTCTTATATTACTACTTTACTCCTTTATCTTACTACTTTACTCCTTCAACTTCTCCTACTCCTTTATCTTACTACTTTACTCCTTTATCTTACTACTTTACTCCTTCAACTCCTCCTACTCCTTTATCTTACTACTTTACCCCTTATCTTACTACTTTACTCCTTTATCTTACTACTTCACTCCTTTATCTTGCTAGTTCACTCCTTTATCTTACTAGTTCACTCCTTTATCTTACTGCTTTAATCCTTTATCTTACTACTTCACTCCTTTCTCTTACTTCACTCCTTTCTCTTACTACTTCACTCCTTTCTCTTACTACTTCGCTCCTTTATCTTAATACTTTACCTCTTTATCTTACTACTTCACCCGTTACTCTCACTACTTCACTCCTTTATCTTACTACTTCACTCCTTTATCTTACTACTTTACTCCTTTATCTTACTACTTTACACTCCTTTATCTCACTACTTCACTCCTTTATCTTGTTATTTCACTACTTTATCTGGCGCGCTTTAACTTCACAATAAAAGATAATAAATAATTGTAAATAATTACTAGATAGTGATGCAAGAATGAATAATTTTAATTAATTGAAAGATTTTAAGAAGGTTTAACCATGTTAAGTTATAACTTAATTACTTGATGATTGAAAGAATGAGTTACTTGATAAATGCATGGGTGAATTAATAGATGAATGAAAGAATAAATTATTAGATGAATGACAAAAGGAATTGACTCAAAGAAGGTTGTAGTTAGATTTCGATTCCACAAGAGACCACCGGAGGGATTTAATTTTCACTGGAGAGGTTTGAAAAATCGCTATTTACAATTTGAAACTTTACTCAGGCTGATTTACATTCAACTGGAGGATTCAGATTTCCATCCGGGAGGTTTATAATTCCACTGGAGGGATTCATATTTCCATCCAGGAGGTTTATAATTCCACTGGAGGGATTCAGATTTCCATCCAGGAGGTTTATAATTCCACTGGGGGGATTCAGATTTCCACCCAGGAGGTTTATAATTCCACTGGGGGGATTCAGATTTCCACCCAGGAGGTTTATAATTCCACTGGAGGGATTCAGATTTCCTTCTAGCGGGTTTTAATTCAATTGGAGAGATTCGGATGTCTATGAATAATATCTGAATTCCTCCAGTGGAATCATAAACCCCCCGGATACATATATGAATCCCTCCAGTGGAATTTTAAACCCCCAGGACGGATATCTTAATCCCTCCAGTGGAATTACGAACCCCATGAAAGGATATTTAAATCCCTCCAGTTGAATTATAACCACCCTGGAAGGATATCTTAATCCCTCCAGTGGAATGTAAATCACCCTGAGTAAAGTTTTAAATTGTAAATAGCGATCTTTCAAAAATTAAATCCCTCTGGTGGTCTCGAGTAGAGCGAAAATCTTACCACGAACTTCCGTGACTCGAATGAATTACACGATGAAAGACAGGATCCCATTATACAACTGCAGGTCCTAAGTGAGGACAGACAAACTAATCTCTTCCCGTAGTTTAAAAATATTTTTTAAAGACGGGTAAAATTCCGTCTTCATTCCTTACTTTCAGTCAGACTAAATTTTTAGTTTCAACTTTCTTCATAATTAAAACTTTATTTCTCATTTTTCATTCCTTAATTTTAAATATATATTTTTATTTTCCCTCCTGAAGAGAGTGTAATTGTAACGTCAAGTATATTAAAGATGTCTGATTCACAATAGTACCTTATAAACCTTGAACTAAATAATAACAAGGAAACATAAAAAGAGATAAATTCTGTCAATTTCCATCCTTGAACTTCTGTTCTACGAAACAAAATAAAATTTTTTAGAGAAACCGCAATTGAAAATTATTGAATTCAAGATAGAAAAACAAGTATATTTTCATCATTTTTGCTCATACAACAAGAGTTAAAGGGTATTGTTGTGAATTTGACCTAAATCTCTTCAAATGAATATCACTTAAACAGTTTCTGTATTCCATATTTTGCATTCCTTACTCAGCTCTTCCTTTTCTAGCTTTTCTTACTTTAACTTTTTTCCTAAACATTTGTTTCTGTTTAACCCTGATCATTATATCCCTGCTCTTCAACTGATTAGTGATTATCCATCTCTTATTCTGTGTGTGAGGTGTGCATGTAACTCTAAAGATTATGTAGCTGTGTGTGGGGTGTGCATGTAACTGTATAGATTATGTAGCGGTGTGTGAGGTGGGGGTGTAACTGTATAGATTATGTAGCGGTGTGTGAGGTGTGCATGTAACTGTATAGATTATGTAGCGGTGTGTGAGGTGTGCATGTAACTGTATAGATTATGTAGTTGTGTGTGAGGTGTGAATGTAACTGTAAAGATTATGTTACTGTGTGTGAGGTGTGCATGTAACTGTAAAGATTATGTTACTGTGTGTGAGGTGTGCATGTAATTGTATAGATTATGTTACTGTGTGTGAGGTGTGAATGTAACTGTAAAGATTATGTTACTGTGTGTGAGGTGTGCATGTAACTGTATAGATTATGTAGCGGTGTGTGAAGTGTGCATGTAACTGTATAGATTATGTAGCTGTGTGTGAGGTGTGAATGTAATTGTAAAGATTATGTTACTGTGTGTGAGGTGTGTATGTAACTGTATAGATTATGTAGCTGTGTGTGAGGTGTGAATGTAACTGTATAGATTATGTTACTGTGTGTGAGGTGTGAATGTAACTGTATAGATTATGTAGCGGTGTGTGAGGTGTGCATGTAACTGTGTGTGAGTTGTGTGGAACTGTGAATGGATCTGTATAAAGTGCGTGTGTGAGGTGTGTATGGAGCTATGTGAGAGGGGTGTATGGAGCTGTCTGTGAGGTGTGTATGAAGCTGTGTATGGAGCTGTATATAGAGCTGTGTGTGAGGTGTGTAGGGAGCTACGTATGAAGTGTGTATGAAGCTTTGTGTGTGAGGTGTGTAGGGAGCTATGTATGAAGTGTGTATGAAGCTTTGTATAGAGCTGTGTCCTAGGGGTGTGTATGGATCTGAATCAAGGTATATACTGACCTGAGGAAAGCGTTGCTCCAGCTAATGCAGCTAGCGGTCACCGAGATATCAGGAGTCAGGACACGTCAGGAATTTAATAGAACTTGATGCATAACGAAGCGTGTTCGTATATACCAGGTTCAGAGCCTATGTATGTCAGTAAACCTTGAATATAACATTGATAGAACATTATTATGGAATGGATATCATTTTCAACATTCAAGGTTTTTTAGGTTTAATAGTTAATTTCAACAATCTGAGATGTTAATCAAATTTTGAAATAAAATTTTTTATAAGCTATCTTATATTAAATTTTTAAAATATTTTCCTTTGACACAAAAAAACTTATTAGGAAGTCTCTTAAAAATAAAGTAAACGTTGAATATTCAAAAACGAATCAACAAACACTACTGCAGAGATTACATGATTTTAAACAATTTATATTTTTTTATCGAATTCAACTAACTGCTTTTTCTTCGATATAAATATATTGTGATCTACATATATAAAGTTGTAATCTCTGTTTGTCAGTTTGTTCGATCATAACTCAGGAACCTCAAATTTTGACTGGGGCACTTGGGAGACCCACGGGAATGTTCTATGCTTGGTTTTCAGATTCTAAGTTGAGTGGGTCCACTTGAAGCGGGGAAAATATCTAAAATCGCAAAGTGCGGGTAAACGGTTGGACTAACAACGACTCCCTTTGGTTCCCAAGCTAGTTCTACATAAAACATCGAAATATTGTTATATCTTTGCAAACGGATGATGTCAACTTTTGACTGTTTGATATAGCAGTTTTCACTGGTTGAAATATCAAACATACATGTCATGCATCAAGTTGCAAAGATTAAGCGAATTGGAAAAATACAGTCTGATGATTCTGAGGAAAGTTATCAGTTCCATATATAATTTAGTGGATGGAGAAGATAGATATAAACCTGCAGGTTGGGAATGGAATGGGATGGATGGAGAGGATGAATAAAACTGCTGGTTGGGACGAATGGAGTGGATATATAAACCTGCAGGTCGGGATGGATGGAGAGGATGAAAAAAAAACTGCAGATTGGGACGGATGGAGAGGATATATAAACCTGCAGGTTGGGATGGATAGAGAGGAAAAATAAAACTGCAGGTTGGGACGGATGGAGAGGATATATAAACCTTTAGGTTGGGACGGATGGAGAAGATTAATAAAACTGCAGGTTGGGACAGATGGAGATGATAAATAAAACTGCAGGTTTGGGACGGATTGAGAGAATAAATAATACAAAGTTTGGACGCATAGATAAAACCAGGTTGGGATGGAAGAATAGACTAGATAAAACTAGGGTTGGGATGGCATGGGTGCTATGGAAACACCTCAACACGGAAACGTCTCAACACGGAAATGCCTCAAAAAAAAGCGGAAACCCCTCAAAAACCGGTTTTTTTGAGACGTTTCCGCAATTTCTGCAAGAAAAACGGAAATCCCTCAAAACCCAGTTTTTGAGGGGTTTCCTCTTTATTTTGAGGCGTTTCCTAAAATTTTTGAGGGGTTTCCGCTTTTCACCTGACAATTATTTTTGAGGAATTTCCCAATATTTTTGAGGGATTTCCCAATATTTTTGTGGCATTTCCGCAAAATTTTTGAGGCGTTTCCGTATTTTAAAAACAAAATTTCATTTTAATTTTTCAAAAAAATTGTACAACATTTTTTATTCTCGTACTATGACGCATTTCTGATTAAGGGAAGAAAAAAAATCGTTGATTTTTTTCGGAAATTTCAAATGTTTCCAGCAAGTTTTAAACACTTTAGCAAGCCATTTTCATATTTATATAAATTAGTATATAACAACTTTTTTATTTATTCTTATTTCAATTTTTGTTTTACTTTAAATATGCATTACATACTGATTTTGAAAAGTTAAATACTGTAAAATTAGTAGATTTATTTCAGAATCTTGCGAAACATAAAATGAAGGGTAAAATATCAGAATATTAGTGAATACTTGGGGCATATACAGGGTGAGTAAAAAAAATGTGATTTGTGGCGCCTGGTGCAAAATTGTACCTTTATTTGTGCAACTCTCCTAAATGGTATTTTTTCAATATTTTTTGAAAATTTGTAAATTTTTTTGGTACTCAATGGCCCCCAAAAAAATCCGCAAAATTATTTTTCTTTCAAAATCAAAAGTTCAGAAAAACAAAAATGTGTAAATAAATTTGTTATATCTAAATCTAAAATTTTAAAAAGATTAGATCACAGAATCCCATAAAATTTTCAAAATTGTAATAAGAAAATTCACAATTTCCAGTACTGCAACTGGTCTAATTTTTACGGAAAAATTGTTTTTCAGTGGTTCTTAAGGTTTAAACTGAACAGCGTATATTAAATATTTTAGAATATACTAAAAAGAAAGGAACTAGAGAATTTAAATAACTTTTTCTTAAAGAATAGACCAGAACTAAAAATTGCGAATTTTCTTATCACTTTTGCGAATTTTTTGTTATTCTGTGATTCAATCTTTTTCCGCAAAATTGTTACTTGGGTAAACACTAAATTAAATTTAACAAGTATCGGTTATAATTGTAATAGTTTAATAAATATGGCCACATGTGCTCAGCCCCCTTGCCTGTCAAAGCCACAGGACTTGGCCCAGAAATTGTCTTAATCATAACCTAATCCCACATAGAATCCACAATTATAGTTAAAAGATTTTTTTAATCCAAACCTATCAAATATTAGTTCATTCAATTGATTTGGCTTGTTTTCTTGTGAAAAGTTAAAAGCATAAATTTAAGTATTTAACCAAACTATTTAAAATCAAAATATTTTTGATTGGAGACCAAACTGTGGTGCATGGAAACAGAATGGCGGAGGCTTTGAGATAGCGAGAGGTGCATAGATTATTTCACAAAATTGATTCATTTAAACAATTTTTTTGTGATTTTTTCATTTGAACTATTTTTTTCTCATTTGAACAATTTTTTTTTCATTTGAACTATTTTTATCAATTTATTTGAACTATTTTTATGTTCATTTGAAACATTTCTGTGTTCATTTGAAACATTTCTGTGTATATGTTATCTAATTAATTGTATGGTCCCATAACTTCATTATAATTATAAAATATTTTAAATGAAATTATTAGTTCAAATGAGCAATTAATGTGTTGATTTGAAATATAACAGGATACGACATCATGTCAATAGTTCAAATGAACAATATTTGAGGGATTTCCCAAAAAAACGGAAATTCCTCAAAACCGGTTTTTGAGGCATTTCCGCGTTGAGACGTTTCCGTGTTGAGGCGTTTCCATAGCTCCGGTTCAAGGAGTTCAAGAAAAAAATTATGCCATAAATTCCAAGAAGAATACAATTTAGCTTCTGTAAAGTTATTTCAGATTTTACTTTATGTAAATGATCGTTACTTTTTGATCACAAAGTTTTTTTTTCTAAAATGAGATATTCGATCCAAATTATTATTGCACTTCCTTTCATATGTCTAAATTTTTCCTCAAAACGATTTAAATTCACCAAACCCTATCTGCGTTCACCCCCCCCCCCCCNGGGGGGGGGGGGATTGAACGCGCGGCTTACACAAAGCGCTTAAACTTCTTCACTTTTCCAACTTCATAATTGTGGACACACTTTTCAAAAAAAGACTTTCTTTATGCAAACAGTAGGAAACTTTTTATTTGGAGTTACAGACTTAAAATTTACATTTTTTAAAACCTCCCCATATGGGACGTCTTTACTGTACATCAGTTAAAGGTTTAATTTTTCTTTTAATGAGCTGGCCTTGCAGGTAGGACTCCGGGGGGCCCGGGTTGAACCACTCCTCCCCCCCCATAACATATATTAAACTATAAACTATTATGGGGATGAAATTATGGTTTTGAAATTCCTCCCATTTTTAAGACTTTTCACCACCTTACACAAGTTTTACTTTAAGAAGAAATGAAAAACATCAAGGATTTGTTGTAAACATTTTTCATATAAATCTATGAAAACTGTACAAAATTAAAATTTCCATGGTTTTGTAATTAAAGAGAAAATTGTGAAGTATAATTTCCCGTTATCAAAATATTTTGATAGAAAAATTTAAGTTAAAGTTTATTTTTGCTGCAATTGGTATTATTTGTTATCTTTACATTAGTTGTTATATTTGTTATCTTACAGATTTATGCATTTTAGTCTGTTACACATTATGAGTATATATAAGAGTGACTTTGCTTGTACAGTGACTTTATATTATTCCCATTTTCCAATTAAATTGTTATCAAGAACTTTTTCTATGCTGTAAGGGAAATATTAGAAAAAAATTCTTTCTTTAATATTTTTGGAACAATACATTTGTAATTTTATTTATACAGAACAGATAGGCTTTAAAGTTTAAAGCATTAGAAAGACCGTAAGACGTAATTTTAAATGACCCAATTCAATATTAAAGGGGCATGTCCGATTCAAAGTGGTACTTTAAAGTGGTACTTTTCGACACGTGAACAATAGTGAGGAATCTATACAGATCGTTATTCATATCTTTAAAAGTGTAAATGCCTGACAATTTCTTTCTTTTTACCATCTGCATAAATCCACAAGAAATAGCTAAAAAAAACTTATTGGGTATAAAAACAAGGACATTGCATTCATTTTTGATCAAATAAAGGTTTAAAGGGCAACGTTCGGAATTGGATATGTACATTACTCTTTTAATAGCGGGCCATGCTCTTGAAATTACGTCAACAGACGAAAAAGTAAGTTGTCCAATTTCAATCTAAAAACCATTTGTCGAAGCCTAGGGATGGACTATGAGGCAATCCTTTCAGGAAGAGGGGGGGGGGATATTTACATGCTGGTAAAGGCAACAGTGGTTATATAAAGTATTGTTGCAGACAAGGCAGTAGATAGAAATGTTGCTTTATGCTTTATTTTTTATCTCTTTGATCTCCAAAATATCAGGTTAAAAAAAATTAAAAAAGTAAATTATCAATTTTTTAAATTGTTTTTTTTTCTAATATTTTATTGACTCTGTTTAGGGGAGGGAAACTGTCCAATGGGTCAGGTTAGTGCTGATATATAAACACTTATATGTTTTAAAGTACAATACAGTCTTCAACGGTTTGACGCAAATATTGATCAACCAATTACTAATTTTACACTGAAACTATAAAACACTTGCATTTGTAAAAAATTCTACATTTTAGGGCTACAAAAAGTACAATTGTCAGTAAAGTAAAACCACAAACCATTCCGTTTTAAAGTTAAAGTGTCCCGCCATTTTAATGTTGAAGTGTCCCTCCATTTTAAAGTTAAAGTGTCCCTCCATTTTAAAGTTATAGTGTCTCTCCATTTTAAAGTTGAAGTGTCCCTCCATTTTAAAGTTAAAGTGTCCCTCCATTTTAAAGTTGAAGTGTCCCTCCATTTTAAAGTTAAAGTGTCCCTCCATTTTAAAGTTAAAGTGTCTCTCCATTTTAATGTTGAAGTGTCCCTCCATTTTAAAGTTAAAGTGTCTCTCCATTTTAAAGTTTAAGTGTCCCTCCATTTTAAAGTTAAAGTGTCTCTCCATTTTAAAGTTGATGTGTCTGATGCACAGCGATAATATTAAAAGCATTGGTTGATTGAGATATTTCTGAATTCTTTATTTAGAATAACTTTTCCATCTCAGATTTCTGGCAAAAGATAAAATTGTGGAAATTGTGAGAATAAGACAAATTTACAATCTAAAAAAACGAAAAGGTTGCCATTTTGAATTGTGCATGTGAACGTTCTAAATGATATGCGACTAGAAATTACGTCTTAAAAATACAAATTTATTTAGATTGAATCTGCATGTGTAAATGATTGTGAAGAAAATACAAGGAAAATTTCATTTTCAAATGTGTCTAATTGTCACTATTATATTATTTTCATTTCTATCATTTCATATTTAATTATTATTATTATTACTAATGTTACTTACATGTGCCAGACTAGCAGGTTCTACTCCTGCAATGACTACAGGAGCATCTCCTCTCACACTGAAACCATATCCTTCATCATCACGTTTCCTAAACAATATTTGCAAGTTTTTAACACATTTTCAAAATGTATAGATTTTCTGCATTTTTTAATTGTTGTGGCTTCAAAACTATCTATATATATATAAATAGTAAACTTTTTTATTCGGTTAAAAAGTTTGATTTCATATGCAAAAATTTTCATCTTTTATAAAACTGATATTAACAAATAAATCAGGATCCAGAACCCAGATGTATGTTTTGTATTCTACAATACAATGTTTTATGAAAAAGAGTTTACTTACAGGTATTGTACTCGTAATTACAGGTATTGTACTCGTAATTACAGGTATTGTACTCGTAATTACAGGTATTGTACTCGTAATTACAGATATTGTACTCGTAATTTCAAAATACCCTCCATGTAAAGATGACATTTCCAAATTCGCGACGGTACCAATAAAAGCTTTGTTCAATTATATATGAATTAAATGTCAATTTTTATAATTTTGAAGCTGATTATTAACTGAAATAGACATTTCTTTCATTTTCCTTTCCTTGTCGAAGGTTTAAATTATGTTTACAGTTCCTTTAAGGCGCAATCTTTCGTTTTATAACAAAAAATATGTTTAATGATTTATTCAAATTTTTAAATGAGTTGATTTTACAAGATAAACAGCAATTGAGTCTTAAGATATTCTATAACCCCCCCCCCCCTCAGACGGGTGAGCTAACTACATAGATAGTTAGATTGGTACAAAAATACATAAAGTTGGATCTAAATCTAAAACGCATGATTTGTGAAAGATACAAAACATATTTCGAATTGGCTTCAGATCAATATCATATCACTCCTTGACAGCTCAATTAAGACAAGACACTTCCTTGTTTTCAGTAATCAATTCACAATTGACCAAGAAGATCTACACTTAGTGGAAACTATTGATTATATCATAAATCACCTTTGACGTGCTGCAAAGCCCCCCGCGCCCCCCAAAAAAATTAAATAAGAAAAAAATCTAATTTAAAGGGAGTGTTCGCGAAAAATGAATGGGGTATAGGCTTAAGTCGAAATATATTCGATGGTGATTGCTGCTAATCTTACTTTTATCTGTTGCGTCTATAAGGAGCAAATTGTTAAAAACTATTAATACCGAAGAACTTAGCGTTCATACAAATTCAGAAAGTAGCAATATTTGACTCAGATCGCAAAAAAAAATCAATTTAATTCCAAACAAATCATTCAAACATTACAACCTACAATCATCGATTTTTGTTCGACGCATTCGTAAATAGTTGACATTTCAAAGTATTTTTTTTTATTTTTTATGATCCAAGAGTTACTTTTGAAAACATTCATTCTAGTTTCGGAGAATTTTGATAATGAAGACGACATTTTCATATTTTTCCGGAATGTTTGAAATTCCAGAGCCAGCCGTATTAATAAATAGTACAGTTATATAAGCAGCTAGTTGCCTGAGCTATATAGTTCTAGGAGCAGCTAATTACCTGAGCTATATAGTTCTAGGAGCAGCTAATTACCTGAGCCGTATAGTTCTAGGAGCAGCTAATTACCTGAGCTGTATAGTTCTAGGAGCCGACCAATGATGTTTAGCATTAAATACAGCTACAGGGCCCAGGCTCTGTATATTTATATGATTAGAAATAATTGGATATTTAAAAATATCAGACATCAAACTAAATTTATTATGGAAATATATTATATTTAAACATAATATATATATATATAATGAAGATGCATTGCAATTAATTTGAATTTATTCAATAACATGGATAATAAAGTAATATATAGATGTATTCAGATAATAAAGTGGTTTCTAATTACTAGTGACAAAGCCTAATTTTCTTATTAGAAAGTTTAAACAAATCTAAATCATGACAAAAAAAATTCTATTTTCAAATAAATGTAGATTTTTAAAAAACGAGAAAGATGGTGCATGTACATTGTTCATTAGCTTAAATATTATAATTAGCTACAGATTTTCAATTGATGCCGCGTAAATCAAAGACGAATTAAAAGGCGTGTGTTCTTCTATATTTATTTCATTACACTTAAACATGTGTATCTCCTCACCCCGGACTAACCAGAGTGAGAAGCATTCAGTTTCTTTTATTTGCTTTGGTCTATACTAGTTCAACAATCTTTAAACTGATGGATTTGTTTATCCTATACATATATAAACAAAACCTATATGCCGATACAAAGTATTTGAGAAAAAGGGCAAAAAATTATGTTTAATGGGTCAAATTGTGTTTGAAAGTCAAAACTTCTAAAAATATTGATAGAATCGTTGAATTCACGTGACCTTTGTTATCAGGACATCATAGAATTTATACTTTTAAAAATCTTATCATATTTTGTAACTCAATCAAAAAATGAAACTTAGGATCCCTAAATTCTTTCAATAAACAAAGCTTACCTTAAAAAGATCTGTCACCCTATATTGAGCTGTGTCTGGGAATGAAAGGGTCAACTGGTAGGTGGTGGAGGGGAGAACAGGAGGGGGGTCTAGTACCTCCTGAATATATAAATATATATAACAATAACATTAAAAATAACACCCATACAACCATAAGCTACAGAAAAAAGGATTGTGCCATCATGTTATCTATCTATATATAAATTTGGCTTGTCTGTTTGTCTGTCTGTTTGTATCCAATAAACGTCAAAACGGCTGAACCGATCGGGCCAAACACAGATTATTTTTCAATTTTATTGCTGTACACAATGTTTCGTATTTTAAAATATAAAATATATTTTAAAAATATTCATGATAGGTAATTTGATATATAATTGGTGACTGGACAAACATGTTTTGAAATGGTGTTTCTTATTTTAAAAAGATACCGATATATTGAAAATAACGATTATTTAATAAAATCGTCAATTAATTCTCATGCATATTGAGATAGTATATTTTCAATGGTTAGTTTAGCATCTTCTTGATATATATTAAGATAATAGATGTTAACCTTATCATTGATTTCTACTAAATGATATTTAAGAAGAACTAGTTTGACGTATTTCCAGATAAGACTATTGATCGCCTATCTCTAATTTCTTTGTAATATTAGCTAGACCAATCTTCTATATAATAAAACAAGACGTGCCTATATATAAGGCTGGCCCGGATGGGCTGAATTTTTTTGAGAACACTCATGGGTAGCCTGGGGGTGACATAGGCTAAAAAATCTCTTTTTCTTCAAAATTTTACTTAATTTTATTTTTCCACGGGCAACGCCGGGCACTTCAGCTTATAACTAATAAGATTATATTGATTCACTTAAAAAAAAATTATATACTTTATATACCGCTTATAAATAGTAGATGTGTAAATTAATACATATAAAGAAACTTTATTCGATATAAACAAAAAGACTTGAAGTGAGAAATTTTATTAAAACTTCACAATGTTTGTTTTTAAATGATAAAAATACTCTGGTTAAACAAGGAAAAGTTAGATAATTAAATGGATGTCATCTTGGAATTATGTTTTTTTTTCAGGCTGGGAGGGGGGGTTGCCGGGGCTAAAGAGGAAATGGAAGTTTTAAACACTTTTCCTGTGGATTAAATTGTTTTTTCTCTTCCGTATTAAATGTCAAGTTCAAATATACATAATGCTTTTTGCTTGAATTTTCAAGAAACTGAACAATATACAAGGCTTAAAGATTTTACACACATTACCGTCTCTTCTCATAATAAATATAAAAATTAGGCTTGTTTGTCTGTCTGTCTTCATCCAATATACGTCAAAACGGCTGAACCAATCGAATTTTGTGGCAAATCACTTCATCACATTAAGAGTTGAAAATTTTGTCTGAAAAAAACTAATTGAAATAGAAAAAATCGGCGAAAATTATATTTTTTTGAGAACGGAGAAAAATTGTGAAGTTATAAAAAGCCACAGCTAAAAGATAAAATAGAAAGAGGGCTCAACGCACCCTAACAGTCTAGTTAGATAATATTCATTATCGTTGATGACAACTACCTGAAAGTCGTCTTCATCATCTATATCTGCGTATTTGTTTAATGAATTCTCACGGGACATCCTCAGCACCTCGGCCAGCTGATCCTTCTTCCGGAGTTCACGGCACATCCGGTTTATACGCTGCGCTTCCTCGTGCAAAAGGAGAGCTTCACGCAGATGCGCTTTTCCTGGCAAATATCAACAAATAAGGTTTTGTTCACATCACATATTTGAGATATTATTTACAAAACACGAGTTTTCTGGGACAATTTAATTTCACTTCTTTCTGACAAAAACCGGGTTTACACGCTTTCAAAAAACTTAATTTTCTCTAGATTTAGGTTTTTTTTACTTAGGCCTATCGTTTTTCAGATTTGATGTACGTGTAGCATGTTAAGTATTCCAGTCCTTCATATTCTAGGGCTCAAGAAACAAAAACAAATATGCAAAAGACATATTACCAATGCATAAGTAAATACACTCTATCATTATTTACACTGCTAAGAACCACCCTATATGTTTGTATATAAGATTCATACATTACCCCCTGAATCCCATCTCGGAATACAGAACAGCAGGGTGTTAAACCAAACAGAATATTTTCCTACCCCTACTATCCTTGACAGTCCTTGAAAGTGCTTAAAAGTCCTTGGCATCCCCACTCCCCAATCCCTCAACCTCAACGGAATTGCAAGTTTTTGACACAAACTCTAATTTTCTAATTCCTACATCTTTATAACCCAATATTGTAGACCTTAGATATATTTTAAACTATGAATTCCGTTAGATAAAACTATCAATTTATCTTTGAAATAAAAAGGTTTACATCATCAGAGATGGAATTTAAAGAATTTGAACCGCGGTTTAAATCCGCCAAAACCCGGTTTGAATTAAGCGCCGGCTAAAATCTTGATACATTTGATACAATTTTAAGTGGAACCAACCATATTTAAACCGCGGCTTAAATTTAAACCGCCGCTCAAATTCTTTAAATTCGGCCACAGGTTGCAAAGATCTAGAAAATTTAATTTTGTGACAAAGAGCCAATTCTTTGTATTTCACAAATACCCAACTAATAGAACTATGTAGAAGAAGATGGCTTGGTCTATCAATAATTTTATTCACTGGTTTCAACTTAATTCACTTATCCTCATTCTAAACTCAAGATTAGGAGACCTTACCTTCTGTAGGGGTGGGGGGGGGGGAGGGAGGGGCGTTATAGAGTTTTAAAATAAAAGGTCAATAATATGCACCAACGGAAATTTTTATCTTAGAGTTAAAATTTCTTTTCTTTTGTGAGAAAATAATTTTCATTCTTACAGTTTGTAAATTTGCTATCCTGTTCAATTCTTTGGGTGTTAAGGCATCGATTTCTTTTTTTTTTGGGGGGGGGGACTCCCTAGTTGCCCCACTCAAAGATTTATAAGAAACAGAATTGAAATAAAATAAGAAAAGAAAAGCCACTCACCAAGATATTTTCTCTGTTCTTTAGTTTCAGGTAACTGGAGTTTACTCTCCTGAAATAAGATAACACAATTACTCTGATCTAAATTATAGTTTTGGTAACTATTAGATTAAGACTGCTATCAATACTAGTTTGATAACTCGGAAGTCGGAGTTACCAATGACTGCAGTGCGTAAAAATTACATTCGGATATAACAAATTCAAATAAAATAAACAAAACGCACCCCGTCCTGGATATTCCAGATCGACTGAACGAACATTCTATACAATTAAAAGGGGTAAAAAAACTCGGCTATTTATAACGATGGAAGGTATTCTGCCTAAACAGTTTATCTGATAGATAAGTTACCATATCCTACAGAGGAGAAAATATTTCGGAACTTAGTTTTATTGTAGCATTGTTTACTTTATCTATTCATAATGTTCAATTTAATCGTCGTGTAGTGTAACACATTTTTCGAGGAAACTTAGAATTTAATAAATTAAGTGCAAAAACTTGATCATTTACAATTCACAATTTTATCGTAATCACATGACGTATTGACACAAATTTCAGAAATCGTTTTCAATATCAAATTAATGTCTCGAATATATTCCTACCAACTAGATGTGTTAACAAATATTGAGGGTTGAAACGAGGCCTTCACGTGGCGGGATCAAAAGCTTATAAACACGAGGCTTAAATAGATGCAAAATGTTATTGTCATGCAATTAATATTAATTGGAAAGAAATTATTTAAAATTAATATACCCTAAAACTAACCTTGGTATCGTGTAGGAAGAGTAATGCACTATCCTTTACCCTGAAACTAACTTTAGTATCGTGTAGGAAAAGTAATGTACTATCCTATACCCTGAAACTAACCTTGGTATCGTGTAGGAAGAGTAATGTATCTTTAGTTCTCTGATCCAAGTCTCCTGTATGATCTAGGAGTCCTACAGCTACATAGTAGTGAGCTAGAGCTCTGTAATGTTCTCGTTTCACCTAAACATAGTTATGTACACTGTACACAGTGCTAATCTAAACATAGTTATGTACACTGTACACAGTGCTAATCTAAACATAGTTATGTACACTGTACAATGCTAATCTAAATAAACCAGAATAATATTAATTGATTTAAGATTTGAAAAGATTCTGACATTCATTCCAGACAACCTAGTTTTAGCAATTTCTTTTTATAAACCAACAATCACAAAATAACCCTAGTCCTGCAATTTCCAAAATGTGGTCTGCCATTTTTTTTGCTTTCAAAATTACGAGAGATATGAACGATATCGTGAAGAAATAGACATTTTTATGGTTTATTTAACAAATTAAAATTTTAATCGAATTCTTAATATCTCTGATATGATTAAAATTAAAAAATTAAAAACTTTTAAAAACAGTTTTTTCATTCTTTATGCGGAGTTTCAAGCAAGGATAGGTTATTAAAGTAAATACCCAATATTGTAAAATAAAAAAGGCATTGAGTCTTTGCCACAAACTCAAATTGTCTAATCCCTATACCTTTGCAACCTGATAATATAAATTTTTTATGTCATACTTAGATTATTTGATTTATTAGAATTTAGTGTTTGGATTAATTATATATAAATTTATTTGTACGGTGGTAGGCGATAACATCAATAAAATGAAGACTTTTTTCGAAATACAATTTTACAGATAATTAAAGAGAAGCTTTTTAAATCGACATTTTCTCGTTGTTTCCATTTGTTTGTGCATTCATGTTGATTAAAAGCTTGATATAAATCAAAATTAAACTCGAAAGTCGTTTCATTGTATTAATATACTCGCCTACCACCGTATATTAATGCAATAGCGCCTCTCTAGGATATAATCTACTGCTTTCAACAAATTGGGAAAACCCCTCTTTGCATGGTCCAAAATATTTAAAATAAAATCCTAGAAAATTGCATAATCGTTTTTGGAATAAAAGGTACATTCCAAGGAGGACTTTTCTTTTTAAATTTAAAAAGAGATATTTATTGATAAACTTTATGACAGTGTTCTCGTCTCAAAAGATGCATAATACTTTAAAAAAAAAATATATTTCTATAAACCGTTTGAGACTTGATGTTATCAATAGCTAAGATAACAATTACATCACATAAATCTAAAATGTTTTCTTTATACCTGGAAAGAATGAATAAAAAAGTAAACCTGTATAAGCGCCACCCAGCTGAAAGGAACATAATCTTTAACTTGCTGTTGTGATATTGCCTGATAAACCTATACAAACAGTGAAGGAGAACACGTTTAAACAAATAAACAAAAGGCAAAAGGAATTGAGTCTTTGCCACAAACTTTGATTTTCTAATCTCTATATCTTTTGAGCCAAACGTTGCAGACCTTAGATATTTCAAACTATGAATTCTGTTAGATCAAATAATCTGAGTTTGAAATATCAAAGGTTTACAACATCAAAATCTAAAGATATTGAGGTTTAAATATTTGATTTTGTTCCAAAGACTTAATTCCTTTACAAAGAAAAGCACAAAGTTTCAATTAAAATAGGTTTATTAAGTAGGTTTAAAACAATCGAATTGAAACAAAATCAAATTTTAAATTACAGATTTAAACCGGAGGGAAAAGTTGAAAATGGCATGATTTGTCTCAGAAAAATTTAAAATCTTGGAATTTTACTTTAAAATAAAAAAATGTATACAAGTATCCCCCCCCCCCCCTAGTTGCACCGCTGTATAAACAAGGTCTAGATAAATGAACTTGTCAACGGAATAACGGAATAATCAAATCATAAAAACAGGATTAACAACATTAACATTTACCTATCTTGATATAATATCCTAACTGTAAATTGATGTATAAATTATCTACGTAAGTGAAAACTCAAGATTACGGAGATAACAAGTTTGCTTAGTACAAACAGAATTATAACAGTGTTCAGCTCATTACTTAATTTTAGATTTGAAATTAAAATCAAAAAATGTTCAGGAATAGTTATAAGTTCGTTAGAGATTTCTTCTAAACGTATTCTTATTAAAAATTGCAACAAAAAAGTTCTGAAGTGGGATTTTTATTTAAAGGGACTGTAAGCGTAATTTCAAGTAACCCTCCATGTAAGGATGACAATGCCCGAATGAAACTTTTTTCTGATAAAACATATGAAAGGCATTGTCATAGGTTTACAAGTTTTTAATTCTGATAATTCGTAAATGTTCTTTTCTGCAGTAGAAATGCACAAGTTTGCAGAAAACCAGTAGTTAAGCTGTTAACATTATTGTCTAATTAATTTCTGATCAGACAAAGATTTTAAGGATGCCATCGTTAATCGTGCCATTGCCATCTTTGCAGGGAGGGTTCCTTATGCTTACAGTTCCTTTAATAATGAAAGGTACCTTTTCATACACCTCGCCCACGTGAGCAGACTCCTGACCTAGTTCTAGACAATGATCTATACCAAGATCATCAGGTTTTAATCTCTTCTCATCATCATCATCCTCATCGCTCTCCTCCTCACCATCAGATCGATCCTACATTACATAAGAATTATTAAGACGCTTTCATCTTTATCTGATTAACGATAGCGTAGAAATTTCTTTAATTACAGGGTGTCCCACGAAATATTACAGTTTCAAATCGTCTGTAAACTTTCACATGTATGAATCTTGAAACCAATAATAACCACACAGTTCTTATAGTTCTGGCATTTTCAAAATGTAGAACATTTTTTTGTGCTGTCAATTTTACCAGAAATATTACGAATTTCGTTCAAATTTCAATTTTATTAAATAAAACAATATTGTCGAACTCTGAACAAAATTCTCAATATATTCGGTAATATTGAAAGCAAAAAAAAGACAGACCACATTTTGTAAATGTCAAGACTATATACATCTAAGATTAGGTTCACGAATAAATGCCGCAAATGGTTTCAAAAATCCAAAACGACATTCAATCAGTCTTGCATTGTCATGTTTCGAGGGACACTCTGCAGCAGATATTTTAGAGAAATCCTTTAACTCCTCGTTTTCACTTAAAAACTTCATATTTCATAAATCAAGATATCGTCTATGGAAAATGACATCCTTTAAATAAATGACTAAGCAAGTTATCGATCTCTTTAAGATAAAAATGAATTCCGACCTCCTAAAGAGTGAATCTTGATAAATTTAAATTTTTCCTGAATGGAATCATGAATCGTTAAATCCATTAAAAAAATATAATTTCTATCGGAAAATAGAATTTACTTAAATTTGTTTGCGTCGCTAATGTTTAATCAATTAAAATACGTAGAATTATAAAGCATTCATTATGTTTCAGAAAAAGGTTGCCGATCCAGAGCTGAGTGAGAGATAGGAATTAATTAAGAATGTTTAAAACAGAAGTCCACGAGCTAAACAGCTACAGGATGTCCCACGAAACATGACAGTTGGTGAATGTCTTTTCCACATTCACTGTATTAGATATTTAAGACTTTTTGCAGTTTATTTAGTTTAAAAAACTTTACTCAAATATATTTTACTTAGAAATCAATTTTACTATAATACGGATGCCATAAAGTATTTATCATTTTTCTCTTTGGTAACAAACAACTTGACATATTGTGGAAGAAGACATTTTAAACTATTCACCAATTGTCATGTTTCGTGGGACACCCTGTACAATGTTTATTAACTAGGGAGTTATAAAACGGAAAATAAACCATGAAATTATTTGATCGGCATTTATAAAGTCAAAAATGTAAAAATGGACTTAAATCATGTTTTTTGAATACGTATCACATAAACAGAAAATGTTCTTATTTTTGTCAAATTCTTTTCTGTTTTACTTTTCAACAAACTTTCATTTGGCTTCTATTGCGCTTTACATTAACTTTCTCTTTCTCCCAATAATTCTGCAACTGTATAAAGATATATTGCTAGAAAAAGGTTAAATTTAGCTGATTTTACTGTCTTTATTTTGTTAACTTCAAACATTTTTGGCAAATCAAAATTTTGTCGATGTTAAATTTTAATCCGTTACCACAAAAACTGCGGGCCGGATTTATTAGTACGTTTATTGGATACAGATAGATACACATAGAGGTGGGTGCGTTTGATCCTTCATCGTTCTTTTTTTATAATCGTCAAAACAATTATTTCGTTCGTTCTCAAAACTATCGTTCATTTTCCATCTATTTAGTTCGTTTTCGCGTAAGCTCGTTTGTTCAGTAAAATCGTTCGTTTAGTAAATAAAAGATCGTTCCTTTTAAAAAAAATTAATTGTATTATAAAAAGTTTGTTCCAAAAAATCGTTCGTTCAGTAAAGAAACGAAAGCTTTTTTCAAAATCTTTTAGAAATTTTGTTCGTTCAGAAAAAAAAAACATCGTTATTTCAAATTCGTTAACTAACGATTTGAATTCATTTGCTTTTAAAATAAGATTGTCTTTTTTATTTCTTTGAACGTTGTTCGTCCATCGTTAATTTTTTTTTAAACGACACCATCTTTCACGAAAAATTTTCTTCGTTCACAAAAACTATGCCGATCTCTTGACAGACAAACTAACAGACATGGTAAATATATAAAAGTGGTAAGAGTATAAGCACCAACCTTCTGATCCTGGAAGCCTAGTCTGCTTTTCTCCAGCAGGCATTCCCTAGCCTGTCCACACATCAGCTGAACCAACATCTGCAGGGTCTCAGGACCCAGGTCCATGCTGGGAGCGTTGGTAAAGTTCTCGTGAATGTACTGAAAGGTTCCAGCGGCCCTGTACAATACAATACTGTTTACAGCCGGATACTTGTACTTTATATTCAATTATAATTTAATAAACGAATCTAAAATAGATCAAATAAACATTAACAAATTGATACCTGAGAAAATTATCTACGGCGGCGTCTAATCCCGCCTCTGTTCCTCTATCCTGGCGGGTACCGATCTGTGTATACAAACCGCCGATATTAAATAAAACAGATGCTTTCTCAAACGCAACAGTTCGCTGTGAACTAGGAACCCCGGTCAAACTGTCATACCTGGAAAATAAATATAAATTATTTTTATCATCTTTGAAGTAGATCGTATACGACAACCGTAACAGGTCTTTAAGACTTTAACTAAAAGTTTGTATGTAAACAGTGTAATCAGACTCATTGCACTTCTTTGTAAAACTATTTGCTTTGTAACAACATCAAATACACTTATTACGGTTTTAATATAGTCTTTCTATTCCACTGTTTTCTGGTTCTCACTGTAGTATATATCATAAAAGAAGAAAAATCCAGAATGATATTTTTGAAATATTCATTATGTTTACTCATCAATTTTTAACATTTAGGAACCAGATTTTTCTGGTTTTATTTTCCGCATTTCTTTATATGTATTCATGGATTTGGGATAAAAGCAAACAGAGATGTCAAAAGATGAAAACATTTGTTGTTACAAAAAAAGTGAACTCCATCTTTGTTCACATTCACAAACTAGTTTTTGATCCATCTACGCCCTACACTCTATAATTTAGACTGCGTTCTTTATATATCCTAGTTCCTGTATTTAATCCCGCCCCTAATGTTATGATTACCCGCCCTTCCACTCCGATTATGTCGATCTATCAACAATAGAACGGTTTTGTGACTGCCTTCATTACATACTTGGGATTAACTTCCTTCTGATTCAGGTTTGACAGGGTGTTATAAAATAAGCTGTTGGTCCTTGTGCTCTCAAAGCTTAAGATAAAACTTTAATTATTTACAACTACTTTACAGAGCTGAAAACTTTAGAATGGTGGATATCAGGATTAATGCTTAATACGTTCCTTTTCTTAATATCCAGATTAAATATTGCTTGTTCTCCACATGAATTTAAACTCCAGAAAAGTCAACAGATCGGGATTAAGGATATCAAAAAATCGTATACTAGGACAGACCCAAAAATTGGTCTTGAGAACCCTTGGTACAGTAAAATTCCCTTAACTTCCCTGTAAAGCAGTTGTAAATAATTAAATTATTTGATGATAATAATTTCTACAAAAGCTAAATCAGTTAGAAAGGTTCTTGTGAAGAACACTTGAGAAATAATAATTAGATATTCTTTGGAAAAGCAAATTTATATATTTCTGTTATTTTGCAGAAATCCACTTATAGAATCATCCTTTCAAAAATTGCAAATAATTTTTGAAAAATTATTTATAATTGCTCATGCATAGAAAGCAAGCATTATTTTTACAAAGCAAAGTTCAAGTTTAGGGGGAAACATGTCCTTTCAGATGGGGTTTACCTTTCCAACCTAATTTTAAACCTTTAACGAAGAATCCTATGGGGCAGCCCCTAATTTTTTAATTTTTTAAACTCACCATTCGAAGAATATTCCTAGACTCCTGTCAGGGGGGAAGAATCTCCTCTCAATGTAGTAAAGATGATTATAGTATTGGAAGAGAAGGGAGATACCATGACTGTCCCTGGTCATCAATCTTTGGTCAATATATGCAGATCTGGAAACTTCTAAATGGTGGATATCGGGATTGATCCACTCTTTATCTTATAATCTCCAGATTAAATAATGCTTGTTCTCCAGCTCCTCTTGTAATTAATCTCCAGATTAATTAACCGATTGGGATTAAGGAATCCAATTCTAAAGTTTTCAGCTCAGAAAGAGAAGGAATTGAGTTTTTGTCACAAAATCTGATTTTCTTATCCCTATATCTTTGCATTTCAATATCAGAGACCTTAGATATTTCAAACTATGAATTATTTTAGATCAGATAATAAAAGTTTGAAATATCAAAGGTTAACACCATCACGTTGCAAAGATATAGCGATTTGAAAATCAGAATTTGTGGTTAAAACTCAATTCCTTTGCTGGATTTTTTAAAATGAAATCCATTGAAAATATTCGTAATTTTGTCCGGATTTTAGATGGAAACTAGTGAGAGAAAAAAACCAGAGGAAAAAATCGAAAGTAAGAACCGTAAAAACGTATTTTCTGCTTAGAACATTAATAAGTTTTCTTTCTCAGAAACATTTGTAGTTATAACTAAACTGTTATCTAAGCTCAAATGATGAAATGTCACAGTTCATCTAAAAATTGATGATTTCCAAGAAGTATGAACGCAATTGACAGTATTAACACTTTTAAAAAACGAGAATATCTTCCACAATATTGATCAGATAGAGGTTTAAAGGTTCCCATTGTGACTCAGACATTGTCCATATTTTAATAAAAGGCCACTTACTATTAAAACGACAGTCCCTCTGTAAGAGATGTACAACGAATAAATGAGCAAAGTTAAAATATTTTTCAACTTAAAAGTAAATTTTGGTAATTTGTCGTTTACACAATTTAGAGAAAAGCAAATGGCTTTAAAAACTAAATGTTGATAACCAAACAGGGATTTAAGTTTAGGTTGAATAACAATAAAAGTATAAATATGGAAGAATAAGCGTGCCCCATGGATCCGATGAAGGAACCTCAAACCAATGTCAATGATCTTATTTTATGCTAAACACATGTTATATAAAAAAACCTGTTAGATTTCACACCAATTTCGATTTAATATCTATTTTTGAAGTTTTCTGACTTGAGGCAAGTTAGGGGGATAAAAACACAATACAAATGGAGTAAATAATTTAAACAATTTGTTTCCAAAGATTTAGTTGACATTAAGAACAATAGAGATGTGTCACACAATTAGTTTACATGAGATATTTTATAATATCTTTACTTATTGTATAACAATATCATATATCAGTTAACCAGCACTTAATAAAAATTAGACAATGAGACATTTGTATCAATCGAAGTATTTAAGAGGATCATAAAATGACCATAGAAGATGATTATGAAGAGGATCATGAAAAGGATTAGGAAGATGATCATAAAGAGGATCAGGAAGAGGATCAGGAAGAGGATCAGAAGAGGATCAGGAAGATGGTCATGAAGAGGATCAGGACGAGTATCAGGAAGAAGATTAGGAAGAGGATCAAAAAGAGGCTCAGGAAGCAGCACAGAAAGAGGATCAGGAAGAGGATCAGAGAGAATCAGGAAAAGGATCAGAAAGCGGATCAGGAAGAGGGTCATGAAGGGGATCAGGACGAGGATCAGGAAGAGGATCAGGAAGAGGAACAGGAAGAGGATCAGGAAGAGGATCAGGAAGAGGATCAGGAAGAGGATCAGGAAGAGTATCAGGAAGAAGATTAGGAAGAGGACCATAAAGAGGCTCAGGAAGCGGCTCAGAAAGAGGATCAGGAAGAGGATCAGGAAGAGGATCAGGAAGAGGATCAGGAAGAGGATCAGGAAGAGGATCAGGAAGAGGATCAGGAAGAGGATCAGGAAGAGTATCAGGAAGAGTATCAGGAAGAAGATTAGGAAGAGGACCATAAAGAGGCTCAGGAAGCGGCTCAGAAAGAGGATCAGGAAGATGATCAGAGAGAATCAGGAAGTGGCTCAGAAAGAGGATCAGAATCAGGAAAACAAAAAATCAGAATCAGAATTTAGGAGACTACAATAGCATGGAAAAGGAGGATGGAAAAGGAAGAAGAAAAAGAGGAAAAAGTAACATATGTTTTGAACGATATTGCACATTTGTGGATTTATGTATATCATATATCTCCTTCTTCTGTAATTTGTAGGGTTTCAAGCCTCAGGCCATTTCCCATAAAACCTATTGACAGTGCTTTGTAATTTGAAACTTTATCAGAACGTCCCTCCTTTCCCTTCAGGGCAGCTCCCTCCCCCCTATCTTCCCTGGAACCCTCCCCCCCCCACCCCTTCCTCGGGCTAGTTCTAGTTCAAAAGAACTGGGTTTTCAGCTTTTTAGTTTTGATTATATAAACAAAAGAATTGAGGTAGTATTTGCCACAAACTCTGATTTTCTAATTCAACTCAATATCGTGGACCTCACATATTTCAATTTATGAGTTGGAAATATGAAAGCTTTACACCATCAGGTGTTAACGATATATAGGGATTTGAAATTTGATAAAATTCCTTTAGTTCGTATTGACATTTTGTTGTGTTCTGCAGTACAAATCCACATTTATTGGACGAAATAGTTTTAAAAGTTTGCTGTAGCTGATCTCTTAGAATAAATCGATATAATTCTCTTTACACAAACATTTTTTTCTGTTTTTAAACTATTGATTGATTGACTAAATTTTCCTGGTTGGAGTTCGCATTGCTTGTCTGAGATCCTGGAGTTCAGCCAGGGATTCATCATGCTCTCCACCATCCTCACTGTAGTGTTCAAGGATAAAATCCTAAATAAAAACACAAAATAATATCAAATTCTTAAATTTGACTTTTTAATAAAAGACATCGTTGAGGAGGCAGGGAGACGTAGATTGAGGCACTGAGATGATTTTGATTTCGAGGTCATTCTGCAAATCAGGAGGTAAGTTCGCAGGGCTCATGGATGCTCTGCCCCACCTCCCTCGTACAATATGGACAACAAAAATATAGGTAAGTTTATCTGAGTGGATTAAATTAAACCACATTAATCTTCAGCTTTACCCGGCGGACAAGAGAACTGGTTGAACCAGCGGTAAAAAGATCAGCTACTTATCCCTATTCATTTAATCTAGTTATATTATATAGTTAGAACTTTGATCTGACTTCTGAGTAGGGTTGGGCGTCATTAAAACAGTATAACCACGCCCAGTCCTAGACCTGAGTAGTAAATCTATACCTTAAAAGGTTCCTGGAGTTCTATCTCTTTAGTTTCCTTGAGACCAAGAGGTATCATGGGAACCAGTAGTTGGGAACCAGCCTGCAAATAAAACAATTTTAATTGCAATTTTCTATTTAAACTATTTTGATCAAAAGCAGAATAATCATAATTATATAATTCATCGATAAGAAATTCAACAATTCCAGATTTTTTTTTATAAATTCAAATGTGTATTTTTAATTGCTTTCAATAAACTTAATTTTTATATATCTTAAAAAAGAGATGAGCAATGTATCTTGTGAACTTGTCTCTGAAGAGATGAGCAATGTATCTTGTAAACTTGTCTCTGAAGCAATGTATCTTGTAAACTTGTCTCTGAAGAGATGAGCAATGTATCTTGTAAAGTTGTCTCTGAAGTATTGACAATCTCCTTCATTTCAATCAACTCCTTACCTATCCAAAAACATAATTTGATGTGTGTTACCAATTATATTCATTATCGTTAACTAACTTAGGGCCAACCACTCAAAACAACCTTCCCTGGTTAGGCAGGCCCAAACTGCATAGTAAATTGTGATTGCTTGTTTGTAATATCTCATGCTTTGTAGTTGAATAAAAATATGATGATGATGTTGATCCCTTGTATTTAATCCTGATTGTATTTGAAGAATTGATCATACTTCATAAAGTTAACGAAGAAAATAAATATAATCGCTTCTTTGGTAGCAAAAGTTGGATGGCTGCCGAGTAAGCGACAAACAATCGCTTTTACTGATAAATAAATGTTTCTTGTTGAATATAAGTTTTTTTATTTCATTTTGTAATTTAGAGTGTGACTTAAAATTGGTCTGAGACTCTGTTGAAAATGAATCCCTAGGTAAGGAATTGGATAATGGTTAATTAAAGGATAATGTTGAAATCCTTCCTCAGGAATACTTTTGTCATCTGGACCTAACTCACAGATTATAATTATAAGATTTTCTTCAGAGGTAGAGGGGGGGTTGATTTGATGATATTTTTTTTAAAGCTACAGACTCGAAGGGGGGAAGGACACAATTGCCTTGGTTGGAAGGAGTTGGATCAAATAATTAAAATGTCCCCAAAACAGCTTTTGAGGAGCTGAAGGGGGGG